AATCATAAAAAATGGTAAACGTTATAGAGAGAAGGTTTTTCCACCGAATATTCAAAATGAAATCCATAAAATTGAAAAGCTTTAAAGCCAAGCGCTTGGGACCAAAACCTTTTTAGAAAGCGATTACTTAAATCCCCCAGGTAAGTTTTCAATCTGTTTTCAAGATTATTTAAATTTAAAAATTTAAAATAATTGTTTTATGGTGCAATCCTTGAGTGTTAAACCCGCAGTTATTATTTAATGGCAACCTCATTAACAGAAACAGCATTAATTTTATCTTCAATATTTTGTTCAATAGAGTTTGAAAAGTAACAAAACCAATCTCAGTAGAGCTGTTAACCCAAACATTTTACAACGTCATATTTGCTGAATCTTAAAACCTTGGCTAAAATTTTAATTATAATTATTATTAACTCCTCACAACTTGCCAATTTAGATGTTTATTAACAAATTTGACGCAAAGTTTGTTATTAAATTACACAAACTCTGCTTTATTCCAGTTACATCGTCTTAAGCATCCAATCAACATTCCTGACATAAGCCATATAATTATTAGAGCAAACACCAGTCTTCAAGAACTATACCAGTACTTTAGTTTAGGGAAAACCTGAACAATCCCTACAACCTTTGTTATTATGGAATAGTGTCATTTGGCTGAACACATATTTTAAATGGATAAATACATACTACAGAAAAAAACAATAGTATGATTATTTTACTTTGTGTGGATGAAGAAAGATACTAAAAATAAAATAACAAGTTATTTGGACATTCCAAACAGTTCTGGCACGATTTGAATGACTTAAGGTTTGAGTTAAGTATAATTTGACCATCAAGCTTTTATATTTTAAACTGAAGAATATTTGGAAAATAACTCTATTGGCAGGCACTACCCTGGAAAAAGCTTGGTGATAACAGAGTCTTACAGGTTCATAACCAAACTGTTTCTGTAGTCCCTATATAATGATAGGTCTATCAGGTAAGGGGATTTGTCTCCGCATTGAAGAACTCCCACAGTAAAAGCCATAATTTAATTTAATTTCTTTGTAAAAAGGCTATCATTAGCTGAATCATAAATTGCTATATATATGTCAAACTTTAAAATATTTGTATGAAGTAACAAAATATATATTTCAAACAAAATTATCAACCACTAAAAAAGTAAATTATGTACACTAACATCAATTTGAAACTTTCCAAATCTTAGAATACAAAGTGAGTGTTGAACACAAGAACATTTCATATAATTTTGTAGTTAACATTTTCCAAGATTCTAAATCCTAAACAAATACTGTAGATATTGTCTTTTCAAAGTTAACTAATGACAAGTGCAGCGATTGGTTCCATTACTCACAGTCTACTAATAAGATACAGTTGGTGGTGAGAGGTTTCGGTTCAACAGTTGATTAACAACGAGGCGCAAACCCTAATTGCTCACCAACCTCCACTAAACCCATACAATCAGCTTTTTAACTTTTCATCAGTTCAACTCTCACGATTTGGAAGCAACCTTTATACTTCTCATTATTGTTTAAGAAGCCAATTAAAATTATATTACCTTTCCGGTAAAATAGTAATTGTTACAAGAAAGGGGCATGCAGCTTTCAAATTTTATTGGGAATAATGTTTGGATGGATGAACCCTTTGTTTCCCCTTCAGTTAATGCTACATGGGGACTAAATATAACATAGAAAAATCTCAAACTTACTTAATACTGTAGTATAAACTATGTAGTGTCAAAGTCGGTTTTATTTATTGTAAATTTGAACTGCCTAAACTGCTAAAAGAAACTCAAATAGTTACAGAATGTGAAATTAGTATATGTCCATGAATTTTGAATGGATAACATAACTTTCAAAATTTGCTGTCAAACAATTGCAGAACACAAACAGTCTTTGCTCCCAAGATTCTCAGTTAAAAAATCTGTTGTCTTTTCTCAGGATTGTACCTACAACCTTCTGAACAACACAGGCAATCGCTACAACAACTCAACTACTAAATTGATGTAACCTTAACCAATGATAACTACAACAACAAACAAAACCAATTAGTCAGCGTATTGAATATTTGTTTAGAATTCCATACAGAATCCCAAGTAAAAGTGAACACTCTGATAGTAAAGTGGCTAAGACTAAACCCTCACTACTAGTGCTTCCCTACACATCTGTCAACCCTAGTGCTGTAAAACACCTGGCCCAGCCAATGCCTCTTGTAAACCGACCAAACTTCCATCACCTCAGATATGAGGTGGTTTCAACTTTTAGGTATAACGATGTTTCACTTTTATAACACAATACAAAGTTTTGAATTGGGTCATGAAAGTTAGTTAGTTTTATTTATGTATTCGTTCATTTAGCCTTATTTAATCCACAGAATAAATAAACACATCACTTAGTAAAAAACACTTATATTATTTTTACTACATAAAACCACATTAGGACAGGACGACGTCTGTCGGGCCAGCTAGTAAGATATATATTCTTACCCCAATATCCCCAAAAAGTCTCTCAGAACTGCTACATGTACAGATAAAAAAACTGAGCATGTAATTTTTAATGGAAAGAGGTGTTGTAAAAGTTATATTTTCCCTAAATTTGTTCCTCACACTAAAGCCTAGTTCACAGTGAACTTTTACCAAGAAGGAAGAATAGATTGATGACCATTTGATACAGAACTACATTAGTCAGAGACAAATGGCTACGTGAGATGTTCTGGAGGCCACAATGGCTCTTTAACACAAGACAAATGATCAGGCTGCAAGTGTAAAGGTGCAAGGAGTCAATATATCGGTTATTCAGATAAGAAATGCTTATGTATTCAATCAACAATAGACCATTGAGCTAAATAATAACAAGAAAATGTTAGCCTAAATTCGTACCCTGAACACTTTTTTACCGAAAATAGCACATCATTAGCAGATTTTAGACAACAAGCACATAGATCAACATCAATTTATACAAATACTTGCAAAAACGATGTACACAAATGGGAAACATATGCAGCATAAGGATTTAAACATTCTTTGACATCATAAAGTTTTACAGGTTTTACGTAAGCAAAGTAGATAATATTTAATTTTGATATCACAAGTTTCATGAAGGAATTTTAAAACTCATCTTCCAATTTATTATAAACCTCAGGAAAAATATCAATCAACAGACTGATCAATACAGGACACAGTCCAAAACATAGAAGTCTTTACAAATGTTAAAATACTTTATCTGTTATCAAATTTCATTTTTAAAGTCCAAATTTATTCTCCCATTGTCAACCTCAGTAAAGTAAGACCACAAGCAAGATACAGATCAATGCAGGGACACAGTCAAGGTCAAGGTCATGATGGTAGTCTGTATATTTAGCCACAGGATGACTCACTGTCAGCTATTGATCCTCACAGACATGTCATGTCAGTAAATTTATCAAAACCAGCTTAAATTGACCTCAGCTTGACGAAAGCTAACCTAAATTATTGATACAGTACCTAGGATTTAATGGTCCTGTAATTGAATAGGTTTAAGAGAGACTTAGAAAAGGACTTGGCTAATTAAGCAAAAGATCGCAATGGTCAGAGTGGTGCAACGGAGATAAAGTAGTACGGAAAATAAATGAAAATATGTCTAATAACACTTAATACTTATATTTACACAATTTTTTAACAAGACGGTAATTGCATAAGAAAGATGATAGTGGTAATCGGTTTTGAATGTACATTCCAATCATCATCAGACCCAATAGGCCATTCTGACCAAAAGCGGAGGGGCTAGGAGCTAAGATTTTTAAGAAGACACTGTTAAAATTTGGTATAACAATGGCATACAGTTTTCTACCCTTAAAGTCAATAAGTACAAAAGATTGGTTTGGGAATAAATTTATCACAACCTAACTGAACGCCATCATCAACATGATCATATAATACAAAACTTCTGTAAGAGAATAATTTATTACTCAATGAATAACACTCTTACACAGCAGACTTACACAGGTAGAAACAATAAATTTAGCTGGGTCTAATATGCAGATGTTATAAGGACTGATACTTCCGTGTTGGTCACTCCACTTCGCGATTTAGACTTTCAAAAAACCAATATATTTAACAAAAATACTAGTGTACGATCAAAATTGATAGGAATACATAATACAGTACAATAGAGTAAGAATATCAAAATTGAAAATTGTGATAGCTATTAGCTGTCTTAATCGTCTTTCAGAACACCAAAAACCCTTATTTTTTAGAAAAATATTTAAATCTCCTAATACCCACAACACCCAGTTACTGAAAAGATATTTTTAAATCGTAAAGTTGAAGCCTGCGGAAAGTCGGTTGGAAAAAAAAATAAAAGTAAGAGACAATATGGTAGACGTCATCAATGATGAAGCAGTTGAAACTGATATGCACGCGACAGTCGATGAAGCTTTCAATTTATCTTCCATCTTGCTGTTAATGGAAATTGTTTACTGCTTCATATTCATGCCATCCCTAACTACACAGCTAAAATGCAATATTGACTGCAGCATTTTTGGTGAAATTTTTTGAGATGCCTGCGAATGTGAAAAACTTTTAAGATGGAAGAATTATATTGATTTAATTATTGGCAAAAATTAGCATCTGCGCTTGCACAAACATCTTTAAAATAGTTAAGAGTACATGAAAATAACTGAATAATATTTTGTTTGTGCAGGAGGTGATGCTATCAGGTGTTCAAACTATTAAGTGTTGTTCTACAATTAGGTACTGGATTACCGAGCTTTGTCATACCATCAAGTGGTTGACCCAACTGTGTCTTACTATAGAGTATCAGACTTTTTAAGTGTTGGATTAAACTGTGTGTTGTATTGTCAAGTGACGGATTTTTAAGACTAGAACTATCAAGTGCTGGATTAGTGTAACATTACCAAGTTTGTTGTACCATGAAAAGTGTTAAGATTTTCATGTGTCAACTGAAGATACCTACTTCAGTATCCAAAGTCTACTCTACCAACAACATATAAAGTTCATTTACCTGAGCCTCTCCTAGTCCAAGCTCTATCATGTCCAGAGACTTCTGCACGATGCCCTGCTTCTCCTGGATCACAGTAGCCTCTGCGCTCTGCACGGCGGCCTGGGCGCGCTCCACTGCGCTCACCGTCAGTTCCACACTCGCCGCCGTCAGCCCCCCCAGTATGGAGTTGTGCTCATTCTTGAGCGCCTCCAGCCCTTGCACCACCGTCTTGGTGTTGCTGACAATCTCTTCCTGCGTCATCTGCGTCATCCTGCCAATCGACTCGATCTTCTTCCTGCAACAGACAGAGGGAGATGAATATACAAAACAGGTAAGATGGTACGGGTTGCATGAGAGAATTGTATTTTAGTAGAGTAGATTAGATTTAAACAACACCGAGACATCAGGGTGTGTATCTGATGACGAAGATGAGTGTTTGGTTTATGTGATTGTTCTGTTAAAAACTAACATCAGTTAGTTCTTCAACCAGGACAATTTTTAAATCCCCAATGATCAAGGATAGCTGGGTACAGTTTCTAAAACCTTCGAAAAATTTAAACTTAACAAAGACTTGCAGAAGTTACATAGTAACTTTTGATAATGAAATATGAAGGATATATTGAAGATGAAATTGAAAGGAGAGCAGGAAGATGATACCTGAAAATAGAGAACTTTTGTGACAATGGTAGAGTAGAAATATTAGGCCACTTTATCATTTAAAATGACAATGTAAAGCATAAGAAAAGCATGGAGAGATCAACCAGAAGATAAAACCAGAGATTTTGGATCTTGGTGGTATCAAGATGAAAATACCTAACAAAATATTTGCACACTTTTTAAAATAACTTATTAATAAATTGAAATTAAATTAATATGTTTTACAATACATTGGCTCTCATCAGTAATACACTTTACTGAAGCACAATTAAAATTGCACATAAGGACAACTGAGTACAGAATTAATTCAGTCTGTGTTAACTGAAACTTTGAAACATTGTAGAGTTAGTTAATGAAGTAACTAACATAAAGCGCACAAGCCCCTTATCCACAACAGTTTTAGCCCAGACATCTTGTAAACTTAATTACCCAGAGCCACTTGTCATGAGTAATGAAACAGCATTCAATTACACTTGTTTTTTCTTTCAATGAAATGTTCATCAGTATTCCGTTCCAGCTTTTTGTAAACAGGTTTCTACTTAAAAAAAAAGGATATGTGTGACAATTTAACAAAGTACGTTGTTATTTAGTAACGAAGATAAATACTAAAATAAATAGATAAAATTAGAAAAATAATGAGGTGACTGTCTGTTTTTTTTTTACTACACAAAATTCAACTGGACAGACTAAGTTTGAAAAAATATCTAACAACTGTACAAACAAGGTTTTAGATATTTACCATTTGTATATCTTGACTTAGGGCTTTACCCAAGATCTTTAACAATATGAATCGTAGGAGCATTAGGAAGTATACTGATAGGTCTCAATCGCAAGAGAAAATAAACTACTGTATGGTGTTTACTTTGGCTTTGGTTTCCTTTGATTTTATGTCTAACTGACTCACAGTCATGCAATTAGATTATTTTATAAAAGAAAGAATGTTTATTTATTTTTTGGAGATACAATTTATTATAGAAACAATCATAAGTTACATGTGTGATAATATAATCTTCTTAAATAAATTTAAAATAAGTAATTTATTTTGTATTTATGGACCCTATCATAAAGCAAACCTAAGCTACGAAAGGCAAAGGTGAGGTAAGCTACTAGTTGAGTTTATAAATTTTAAATAGGGTATTTATAAATAATTTGTAATGATAATGCATAATATTATGGTTTAAAATAATGGACTTAATTTCCAAAACATGTCGTCAAAATATAAATAATTATTAAAAAAGGGTATTTTGTTGACTATGTTTTTCATTTTTATTATATTATTAGTAGCCCTAAACGTGCAAGAAAATATAAATAATTTTTACAACTAAATAAACAATTAAAAGCCACTGTTGAAACATAAATTAATTTGTTTTCACAACATTGCAATGAAGAAGGAATTATTCCCTCGTCAGAAATTATAATCTTAAACAGATTTTACCAATGTGAGTTTAAGCATACTCAGTAGACTTTTAAAATGTGTACATTTGCTCTATTAATTTACTTATACTATAAATATATACATTACAAACTATTTCACAAAAAATTATTACTACCTTAAACATCAATTTACAAAAAATATGGTTAAGGCTCAAATTTAATTATTGTCTTTGGAATATTTGCAAAAAGAGTGAATGCCTTGCATGTGAACCTCGTCTATTCTGCTGGTTTTATCATAAAATATTCAAATGTCAGCTGGAACCTTCCCCAGCCGCATGCAAACTATCCATCAAGCTTTCTTGGCCCAAAATTGGTTTTTGTGGAATATCAATATACTAGAACTAGAGTAGTTAAAAATTGGCTACTAAAATACAAAACAGTAGATTATTCAGGTTTACTTTAAAATTAAAATAACTCTTAAACATTATTTAATAAAGCCTGGATGAATTTACAACACATCAATGAAATGTGGTGGAGGTAATGAGATTTTACAAAGGATTATCACAAACCTAAACACACAAACCTATTCATGTCCTAAAAACCCCTCAGGCTAAGCATGGTGCTTTTGAGTTAAAGCTTTTTGAAGGCAAATATTGCTGGTTCTCCATAGCTACAAAAGCAAAAACCACAATGCTTGCATTTACATACACTTACATTTACACAAATAGCTTTAATTTTGTCCCATAAAATATTAATTTTTTTGTATCAATTTGATTTTACTAAACAATTGATTAACTTTAACAGAGATAATTGAACAATGAGTAAAATCAAGCTTGATTTCTAAGACCAACAGTGAATGTGTAAAAAAAGAAATATTAGGTTCAAATTTGATTTTATTCTGAATGTACAGAATAAACAAATATAATTTTATGCTTCTAATTGGTGCATCTTATGTAATCAATTAGTTGTGTTGTAGATGTTTCTACTGTACATTTTAGGAGAATAAAATATGTACAATAGTGCTTTCTCTCTTACTTATTCCAACCTCCAGAGCAAGGATAAAACAAGTACTTGACTTTACAGTAAAACAAATTTAATCACTTAAAATAAAGTCCTGCGATAGAAATAGAGTTAAGATGAAAACTTTTATGATAATTATTCCCAAGAGACACTTATATTATTTTAGCATCAATTAATTAAAACTTTACAAACATTGAAATGTTCTTTAGAGATCTACGGCATTTGCCTGAGTAAACTTTCCACTAGTCATCCTTTTATTCACAATGCTTTTATCATTAATTAGTTTCTAAAGAGTCTATTGTTAGTAGGGCAATGACATAAATTAATTTGGTTATTAATTTTACATTCAATGAGTGGCTTACACAGGCTACATTATAATTGTTCAAGCACAATAGTAGGGTTTAATTGAATATAATCTCCCAGAAATATTTTACTGAACAATAAAATTCCCAATCTAATAAACTCTACATAATTAAGCTATATTATTAAGTTAGACACAACAAGTGGCGTTAGTAAGTTATATTATACAATCGTAACTGAACTTTACTTTAGGAAACTAGTGATTAATAAAAATAGAATAAAAGTTATTTTATTTACATGGCTTGAAAATGTTTACACAACAAGAGGCTAAAAGAAGTCTATTTGTGTCCGTCTATTTTTGTGTGTGTTTAAAATTAGAGCATTGCTTTCAATAAGATTTGTTCAGTGTTCTCTACAACTTGCCTTCACTCCTTGTAATTAAAATTAAGGACCTGAAAAAATTCCCTAAGGTGCCAATTTTTTTTTTTTGCCTTTTACATTACTTCAGGCTAGACCTATAGTCCAGGCGCTGAGGGGGGTTGAGCATGCATAAAAGTGTAACGAAATTTGACTTTTGATTGTTGCTATGGGTACCTATTAGATGAAGAAAATCGATGTTGTCGCATTTCTAGGTGGTTAATAACATGGGGAGGAGGGGGAGAAGTTGGGGGGCCGCCCGGGGGGCCGCCGCGCACAAAATAGCTTATATCTCAAGAACCAAAAGTCATATGAATACGTTAGACATGTCAAACTGTGCACAAAAATGCATTCAACAAAGAGATTATGTAGTAGTTTCACGGAAATTGACAAGAAGTTACTAAAAATTATATTTTTAAATTTACGATAAGTATAATCAGGAGTATAATGGTTTTTGTTGTTGTTTAGAACCACTAATGTTTTAATTGACAACTTTTGAGAGTAGTAAACAATAGGTAAATAGTATTTCTGTATAATGAAACTATTGCGGTACATAACTTAACAGCTATACAGTCCTCAGATCCAATAAATATAACACAAACAAGGCGCAAAACGCGTCGCGGTCATTGTTCCTGCTACCGTAACTATTAATGGCGAGTACAGTTCAAGCTGAGACTTATATTATACTTTTAGAAAGGTGGAGATTCTGAGGATTCATTTTCATATATATATATATATATAATGGTATTGAGCTACTATTATGTAGCGAGAAATATAGTTTGTAAAAGAAGAGAGTTCAAAATATATTTTGGTGGTGGATCGTTTCCATCGCCATCTGAAACTGCAATAAATTCCCTACAATTTATATATCTCCGAATCTGAGGTTGGATATAACAATTTTATGTAGTTTTGAAAAGGTCATAAAAATTATGTTTTCGTAAAAAATGTTAACATTTCACATTCTGACGTAAATTACTCAGGAAATTTCGATTTCAACTACATTTAACTATATATTTTTAGAAAGAGCTTTTACTCTTAAATTATGCAGTGTAACCATTGTAAGCTAGGAATACAATGGAAACTCCATGTACAGTATCTAAACTTAAATTTATTTCATTACAATACAAAATTGATGGTAAAAGAAAAGAAACTAAGGGTTCACAATAAAAGTTTACAAAGGGTGGCAAATGAATTTACTAATTTAAGCTTTAGGCTAGGCCTATTACAATAGTCCTAATTTAGGTTGAGGGGTTTATTGCATGGATCTTTATCTCAGGTGGGGTGATCGAGCAGCGTTTGAATTTAATCTTGTGATTATACAGTATATAGCCTAATTAAATATTGTTTTAAAATATAAATTATGTTCGAATTATTTTCTGATAGGTTGAATTAATTAATGTTCTGAATAAGCTTCTATTAGTTTCTTGACTTTAAAGTTCTGGTACAAAAGTTCAAAAGTTTGGCTTAAAAATATTCTAATGGCTTCTATCCAAGGAAAGAAAATGTCTACTGGAGTGATCTCACCAA